AACCAAACAGGAGGAGAGAAACGCATGGTCTGCCTGTACACAGCTTTCTTTCTTTTTCTTTTCTTATCCTTTCCTTTCTTTCTTTCTCCCTCCCTCCCTTTTTTCCTTCCTTCCTTCATTGCTTCCCAAAACTCCTCCCTCCCTCCTTTCCTTCCTTCCACAACCAGCACTCAGCATAAAGATTGGTGCAACCAAACAGGAGGAGAGAAACGCATGGTCTGCCTGTACACAGCTTTCTTTCTTTTTCTTTTCTTATCCTTTCCTTTCTTTCTTTCTCCCTCCCTCCCTTTTTTCCTTCCTTCCTTCATTGCTTCCCAAAACTCCTCCCTCCCTCCTTTCCTTCCTTCCACAACCAGCACTCAGCATAAAGATTGGTGCAACCAAACAGGAGGAGAGAAACGCATGGTCTGCCTGTACACAGCTTTCTTTCTTTCTTTTTCTTTCTTTCCTTTCCTTCTCCCCCTCCCTCTTCCTTTCCTTTTTTTCTCTTTTTTTCCTTTCCTTTCCTTCCTTCCTTCCTTCACTAGCAGTCGTGCAACCAACCAACATGATCTGCCTTTATACAGCTTTCTTTTTCTCTCTTTTCCTTTTCTTTCTTTCTCTCTTTCTTTCCTTTCCTTCTCCCCCTCCCTCTTCCTTTCCTTTTTTTCTCTTTTTTTCCTTTCCTTTCCTTCCTTCCTTCCTTCACTAGCAGTCGTGCAACCAACCATCAGTAATCTGCCTTTATACAGCTTTCTTTTTCTCTCTTTTCCTTTTCTTTCTTTCTCTCTTTCTTTCCTTTCCTTCTCCCCCTCCCTCTTCCTTTCCTTTTTTCTTTTTCTTCCTTTCCTTCCTTCCTTCCTTCACTAGCAGTCGTGCAACTAACCAACATGGTCTGCCTTTATACAGCTTTCTTTTTCTCTCTTTTCCTTTTCTTTCTTTCTCTCTTTCTTTCCTTTCCTTCTCCCCCTCCCTCCCTCCCTCTTTCTTTCCTTCCTTTCTCTTTTTCTTCTTTTTCTTCCTTTCCTTCCTCTCCTCTTCTCTCCTTCCTTCCTTCACCAGCAGTCGTACAACCAACCAACATGGTGTGCCTATATACAGCTTTCTTTCTCTCTCTTTCTTTCTCTCTTTCCTTCCTTCGTTCGTTTTTTCTTTTCTTTTCCTCCCTCCCTCCCTAGATAAATGGCATCAAATTTAGGAAACCCTATTATCTTAACAGATAATTGAAAGAAAATAATGAAATGGGGAAAATGCCTTGCTACTTTTATCAAGCGTCAAAGCTACACAAAGGCAGGCACCGTGGTTAGGTTCTCGCCAGTGGTTCCATCCTCTTAACATTAGCTTTCAGGAGCCCTAATTTGAATTTGATTTAATTACACAATGCTAGGGAGGCAGGGAGCTACAATTTTAGAAAGGAAGCCAAACATTTTGCTTTTGTAAAGACCTCGCCTATAAAAACGTAATTTGAAATG